CACCTGTTCATACGTTTTTGTCATTTTCTATGAAAGTCCTAATCATGCATGTTCCGTTTTGTTTTGGAATTTCTGGTTTGGAATGTTGTTGTTCTTACCACAACTCATTCTGGTTCTACTGAGTATTTAGTGTCTTCAAACTACACGTGTTGCCTTTTGTTTTGCTTGTAAGTTTTTGTTGAAGGGCTGGCCCTCTGTGCTTGGGAAGAAGAATTACAGTAAATGCTGCCCAAAGACCCTGGGAACAGGAAGTGCATCACAGTCTCTACCTCTTGGGAACCTGTGTTTATGGACTGCGAACTTTATAGTCCTGGTTGCCCCTGCCACTCCCTGGTGGAACAATATGGCTAGAGGGGGCTGCAGGTGGGCAAAGATGGCTCCAGACTTAGCTTTTTCCAACTTTCTGCTGATGGGGCAGTGATACTCATTTGCAGAAACTTTTCTTCCATGTTGGGATTGTGGCCTTTTCCCAGGTCAGTCACAAGGACTACAGTGCTCTCTTGCAGTGACAGCAAGCTACAATTTCCAACCAGTCATGAAGCTCCTGAGGTGACAACTGCCCAACAGTGCACCACAGGACCAGTGGCTTTCGTTATTGCATTTTGTGATTTCATATCCACTAAACAATAAGATGCATGAACCAGCGGATCTTTAGTTAGAGTGGTATTGTGTTACATGACTTTTCCCAGCTGTAGACTAACATGAGTGGGTTGAGAAGGTTGAAGGTAGCCTGGGCTAAGCACAGGTTGTATTAAATGCACTTTCAACTAGCACTATGCTTAACCTGCCATGTTTTTTTGGGGGGGAGTACAATCTCATCTCAAGTCAAGAAGAAGCACAGGTAGGCTATGATTGAACTCCAGTAGGTTTGGTGCTGGGAAAATAGTTGCTCTCCTGAGCAGATCTTGTTAAGAGCACAGTACTTGGGCAGGTTTCACAATGTTTCCCCAACCCCTCCTCTGATATCATAAATGCCAAGTATCTCCCCTGCCCCCAGTAGTCGCTGGGGAGCTTGGATGAACTCCTGAAAGTAAAATTCACAAACATGTCCCGCCCGGCTTAGCTGGGTCCCCAGTGTTTTGACTTCTACACTCCGTGCGCTGGCCTCCAGCCATGTGCCAATCAACGACTCCATTTCCTACTGAGGCCTTTCTTCTACAGAGATTCTTCCTGAGATTGTGTTCTAGACAGGGAGGGATGACTCTCTTTATTTGCCTTCAATTTGGAGTACAATGGATTTCTCTGTCACCTCATTTTCTTCACAGTTTTGAGAAGAGTGTTTACCCTGTGGGGATGGCATGGTGATCTCTAAACTCCTCAAGTTCTAACAAGAAAGTGGGTCTCTGTGAGACCTTTTCTGCTTTTGTATTTGGGGGAATGTTCTTGTGTAAGCGTGTGTGTGTGTGTGTGTGTGTGTGTGTGTGTGTGTGTGTGTGTGTGCATACATGTGTGAGTGTGTATGTGTGTGCGTACATGTGCAGGTGGAGGTGAAACAATAGCCTCAGGGTTAACCCTTGACCTCCATCTGTTTTGAGGCCTGGTCTCTGGCTTGCTGCTGCAGACTCCAGCCTAGCCAACACACCAGATTCTGGGAATCCTACCCCCAAATCCCATCTTGCTCCCGGAAAACTGGAACTACACAGAAATGGGTTCTGAAGATGTGTTCTCAGGTTCTCACACCTACATCTGAAAGATGGGGTGTTACCCACTTGCATCACTTCTTCACTCTTACGTATAGTGGGGCTCTTAGATAATTTGGCTAAAAGGTCTTGGTAAGCGACTATGGTTTTAAACACCTTTGCCCACTAGGGACTGTTTTAAATATAATCACTAGGAAAGCTCACACTTTTCCCCGCCCATTCTCTAACAAGGAAACTGAATCACAGAGTTAAACAGCCGTTCCAAGGGGACGGTCGTGAGAGCGGCTTCACTGTGTCCCAGCCGACCCTGCAGCATGCACTCTCTCTAGACCACCATGCTCTTTTACTACACGATCCCTAAACATCCGCACGACATTCTGACCTGATTTAATCAGGAGGAGATTTAGATCATCCAACAGATTCTTCTAGCTGTCTGTATCTCGGTTTACCATTCCGCCAGCCAAAACCGTGGCATCTGCGTCTCCTACGAGTCATTCCAAGAACATGGCTGTGCTCTCATCGGTTTACGTGGAAGCTGATGTTCACATAGAGACACAAACAAGAAAAACCCCAGCACAGACACTCCTGAAGGCTTTCCTTATTCTGTCAGAGGCACCGCACACTGACTGAAGTGAAGAAGTACTGGGGAAAGCCTCCCGTGTTCATACGAATGGAAATGGGCTCACTGCCTTCTATGACAAATTAGAGCTGAGTCTTAAGTAAATATAACTTTAAGGACACTAATGTCTTAAGCCAATCTATGTTGTTCTGGTTCTGTTGTATACACATTGAGGTTTGCCATCAATCGCAGACGAGCCAACAGTAATCGCTGCCAGAAGGGCGCTGCCAGCCGTCTCCTGAATGCATGGTCTGTTCCACGGCCGCCCTGTTAGCTGCAGCTCAGATTGACTGCACAGTTCATTCTTTCTTCATGGCATCATGCATTATCTGCCCCGCTAAGTCATTTTCTTTTGCTAGAAACTAATGCTTGAAACATACAGAGAACATTCAGATTTCATTGACGTTCACATTTGTAGGTGGTAGGGTCTGAATATTTCTGTCTTTCCCCCCAAATTCATATGCTGATAGCTAATCTCCAATGTGGGGACTTGGAAAGGAATGGAATCATGAGAGTGGAGCTCTTGAGGACGGGATTAAACCCTATAAAGGAGTTCCAGCCAGGGAGGACCCAGCAAGAAGACAGCAGGAGTCTGACTCACACTCCCCCAGCATTCCCTGCAGACAGCAGTGTCTGGCACTGTGAGCAGTCAGCTTTTGTAGAATGGAAATTCTCCAGTCAAGTATTTTGTCGTGGCAGCCAGGGAGATTCAAGACAGGCGATTTGGGTTATAGGGGCAAGAAGGGGAGATGCTAAAATATCCAAATGTACTCTAGTCAGGGTACTTAGTCCCTTTATCATCCAAGGATCAGCTTGAGATGATTGGGCAACGTTTGGAGCATTATACCCCCCAGGAATTCTGTAGGCTTCATCCTAACCTCATGTGCTTGAGAAAGGACCCAAATCCAGGTGTGCGTGCGTGCGTGCGTGCGTGCGTGCATGTGTGTGTGTGTGTGTGTGTGTGTGTGTGTGTGTGTGTGTGTGTGTAGATATATCTCTGTCCATCCCAGGACCCAAATAATAAAGAACAACATTGAGATTTTTTTTCAGCAGAACCACTTTGGATATGTTTTATGGTATCTCTAACTTTTTATGTCTTCAAAGACAAGTGTTAAGTGCTTTTTCGTTTAATAAATTTAAGGACAATAAGTAGCTAGTTAGTTGTGACAGGCTTTCTGGGTACATTTTTGATATAGCTAAGGTTTCTTTTTTTGGTTTTCTGAGACAGGGTTTCCCTGTAGCTTCGGAGCCTCTCCTGGAACTAGATCTTGTAGACCACGCTGGCCTCAAACTCACAAAGATCCGCCTGCCTCTGCCTCTCAAGTGCTGGAATTAAAGGTGTGTGCCACCACCGCCCAGCTGCTGAGATTTCTTTTATTCATTCCTTAGTCGTGGACATGTACTTCAGGTCTGCACCTGCATATGTGTCAGAACAAGACCCAGAATGGCAGCAGCATGTTATAAAGCTCACCCAAGGGGAAATCACTTGGAGAGAAGAATAGACTAAGAAGAAACAAGAACCATATTTTCTCAGCAGAGCCAAAAGCAAGCATGGTTGAAATGCAGGCCTAATTCAGTGTGGTCCCTTCATCCCTAGAGTGTAGAGTTTCCTCATGTTCCGCTGGCTAGTAGACATTACACAAATGATAAACCCCATGTACTAGGGGCAGGACCAGAAAAGGTGAACCTTCCAGGTGGGAATATTCTAAAACAGAAGCTGGTAAGTATGCACGCATTTAGATGCTCCCTGCACCAGAGTGCACATGGTACACTGAGAATCCCAAGGACCATTCCCACACAGACGTCATAGATGTGAATGTTCCCCATGCTGGAAAGTAGCAGAAAAGGCTGTGGGTCTCCTGAAGCAGAATGTGGATAATTTATGAGAAATGAAGATTAAATACTATGAAGACAGGACCTATTTGCTTAATTCACACAAGGTGCCTTACAGACCACTGGCTGCTTGGCTTTAGATCATTTTGGGTCTCTCACTTGCCTCTTCCAGACAAAAGAAGGAAGCTTCAGTGGATACAATCCTTCCTCATCTCTGCACTCATCCTTCAGGGTTGCCCTATAGACCATCCCTAGGATGCAGGGACAGTGGTAAGAGAGTGGTACCAAGAAAGGGACAAAATACAGGGGGCTTCTTGCCAGGTCACTTGCTCTTGGCATCCTTCCTCCTAGTGGGGGACCAAGAGGCGGTTCTCTGTGACTTCCACTGGGGTTTCCTGTGGCCAATGAATTGGAATATGTCAGCCGTAAATGCAGCCCCTGCCTTGTTCTGTTTAGAACGGAGTTTTTGCTCACTCCAAAGCAAAAGCCCAGCAGGACTGTGCTTGTGGCAGATACAGGAACAGTATTCACTGATCAAAGCCACTGAGAGCAATTCTTAAGATGCAGCTGTGGATTAACCATGACAAAGTTGACATTCTCAACATAGAGCAAACAAGGACAACTGATCATCAGACAAGGCTGGGCATCTTCTTGGCTTTATTTCCCTTAACTGGCAAAGTATATGGGCTGGTGCATGCCACTGGGAATTTCCTTTTAAGAAACAATGAAAAGGACAACCCAGAGAAGTAAAATAAAGAAGGTTGTTTCTATTTGATAACTAGAATAGATGATGTGTTTTTGAACGGAAGAAGTAAAATAGGAAGTAAAAAGAAGTCCCCTTGAGTCACCGTGGCCCAGGAGTTCTGGGCTGGACCCCCTCCCCCCACCCCGCCAGGTCCCCTGCTTACCTTGTAGTGATCCATGATCTCAACCAGCCAGGGCTTCACCGACTGCAGTGTGTCCTCTCGCAAGTACTTCTCAACATCAGCACCGTCACTGAAAGTCCGGTTTCCCACGTGGATGGCTTCTCTCACTTGTGGGAGTGACAAGAATTTCCCATAGTAACTTTGGTCCTCCAGCTCCTGGCAGAAGAAACATCAGAAGGGGTCCTGGAGGAGAATGCCAGGCATGGCCTACAGGAAAAGCTGAGACTCTCTCACAGCACACAGCACGGTAAACAGGGCACGACTAAATTGTCAACATGTCTTCATGCTTGACACTTTAATGGGGCACCCTAGTCAGGTAAGAGGAGTCCCTTCACTGAGGCCAAACACAGAGAGTCTCCTGCATTTGCAGTCAATATCCAATTTGCCTGGGGAATGGATTTTCTTTCTCCCATTAATCTTTGCAGCCTTGCCGTCTAATTAGTCAGCTCATTGGCAAGAATGGCGGAGAACGGAAAGAGGAAAGACTACATAAGGCAATTGCTCCCTGACCTCGGCTCTGGGGAAGATGGTCAAGTGGTTTTTAACTGACCAGGTGCAGCATGATGGGTGACAACCATGGCTTACTTGCCATTTTCTGCTGTTCATTAAGAGCTCTCCGTCTTGTCCCTCCTTCCCCCACAATCAACTGTTCATAATTTATGGGGGAATTATATCTTATGCAAAAAAACTGATACTTAATCAAAGACATGAAACAAGTTATCCACAGCCCTTGCTAAAAAGCAAAAGCAAACAAAATAAAGCCCCCTTAAAGTCTCTGTAGTAATCATTAAACTTTAAAGAAAAAGGAGCAAATATTCATTATTTTAAAAATCCTCCAGGTTACAAGAATACTGTTTAGGATTTATGTTCAACAATTCTGTGCTTTGCCAGCATTTTTTTGGTTTTGTTTTGTTTTGGCTGTGACTATATGACTTTCTGCAGAGAAACATTGTAATGACAAGTTTGTTTCTCTGTTTCCTGCCATGTTTTGTTATTGTCCAAAACCACAGGGCTGGGAATCCCACCAAAAGTGACTTCAAATTTTACTTACAAATGGCTCATAAATAAGGCAATTTAAAAACCAAATGTGTTGTCCTGCGCAGTAGACAGAGAGACCACACATCCAAACTGCCAGACGGGCTCTCCTTCTCTTATTCATTTAACACTACACGAAAGATGTCAACTCTGGCCTGCTTTTATGAAAGAAATGACTTGAATACTTTAAAAAAAAATATTCCAGAGGCCTTGAGGTGAGGGCTGTCCTACATGCTCTAAACACCTCAAGTTAGAAGTAAGGCAAGGCAAATATTTTCAGAGAGGCTTGGCAGTGTTGATTACCTAAGCCATCTTAAGTGCAGAACAAAGAACTTGGATGTTTTCAAGAGACTCCTAGCCTGAAGCCTAGACCCAGCACCCAGGGCTTCAGTCCCAGCCTGCATCTTTCCCAGAACTCCTCCTCCCAGGGACAAGGTCTAGTAGGGACACTGAGTTAAAGAGACACCCTTCTGAGCTCTCAAGAATATCACACATTATGGAGGGTGAGTTAACAAGCCCAGTGGGAAACAAGCCCCAAGGCTTCAGGGATAAAATTACACAATACATGTTGGACATAGCCATCTAGTTTAAATTGAACTCTATTTTCCAATCCGAGGCAGTTTGTTTTTGTCCAAAGGGTTAAGCAGACATTACTGCTTTTCTAACTTGTGGTCCTTACCGTGCACTGTAAGAAGTTGTAGTAATTGGTGCATCCTGTCACATTCTGGAAGTAGGAGAGATCGTTTGTTAAATCACCATCCAGCAGCTTATCCAGGATCTAGGTCAGGGATGGAGAAGGGAAGGGCAGTGTCAGGGAGGGTTAGCAAGCACAGCCCTTGATGTATCATGCAGCCAGGACATTTTTCACTCTACTTTTTAGGATGTGTGTATCTATAGGTGTGTGTTTATGTGTTTACATATACATAATATGCATATGCACATATGTGTGCATGTGGACATGCGTGCACACACATATGGAGGCCCAAGGATAGCCTTGGGTATCACTCCTCAGGCACTGCCCATTGTTTGATTTGAGACAGGGTCTCTTACCCACCTAGGACTCATCAAGTAGGGTAGATTGGCCTCCTCAACCCAAGTCCATGACACCATGCCTGAACTCTTGTTTATACATGGCTCATGGGGCTCAGATTCTGCATCTTTGGGATTGCATGACAAACACCACCACTTAGCTACCTTTCCATTCCCCAGATTTTAAAACCTTTCTCATTTCACTTCCTGAACATTTGTAACAGGCAAATGTCATCCCTCATAGAATTTATATTCCAGGGAAATAAATATGTGTGGCAAGGCAAAATGTGTCATGTGTTACAGTCATGCATGCATTGGGGAATTGTAAGGAGAAGAAGAATGGGAGGTATTATGGGTGTGCGTGCCTACATGTAGGGGACAATGAAAAACAAAGTTTCGCGTGGAAGATGACAATCCAATTATGACCCATTGGTTTGGAGAAAGTCAGTAATACAGACAACCATGGAAAGAATATTCTAGGCAGAAGACAGTAAAACCAGATGCTTTTGCTTGGGAGTTTGCCTAGTGAGAGGAACTGCCTCCACATGGTCCCTAAAACACTCGCCTATAGTATGAACAGAGGTGGCATGAGATGTGGGCTGAGACTCAGGGTCTTGGAGCTAGCCAAGGGCACCCATAGACTCCAATTTCCATCACCAACTGGGAAGGGTGGTCACCATGGCTGTTGGTTTTTCTCCAGCCATTGGCTGCGGAACAAGGGCCAGCATGGAGGTGGCAAAGAAGGAATAGAGCCAGGGTTATGACTTAGCCAAAGACATTGGAGGAAGCATTAGTGGAGGCTGGTGGCTAGAATGTGTGGATAGACCTGGGCTTAGGTTGGGTAGCCAGAAAAATGAAGACTTAGGATTTGGGGTTCACAAAGAGGTGGTAGCTAAACGGGCTGAAAGGCACTGGAACTGAACAATTGCTACAGTTAGCTCATTAACATAAGTGGGCTGGAGAGATAGGATGTGGTAACTTAATAAAGGTATTTCAGCTTCAAACTGTGGGTGATGGCACTGGCGATCCTTTGGTTGGTTATTTACTTGGTTGTTTTTCTGTTTTTTGTTTCGTTTTGTAGCAGGAATAAGTAAAGAGTCAGTTTGCTGGGACTAGGGTGGTAAGTTAGTTAGTAAGGGGTTTGCCCCACAAGCATGAGGACCCAAGTTCAATTTTCAGTTCCCATGGATACACCCTGGAGTAACAGTGCTCACTAATGATGTCGGGGTTTGGATGGTGGAAATAGGGAGATTCCCGGGTTCCCAGGCAAGGGAGAGACCCAAAAAGCAAAATGGAGAATGAAGAACACATCGGACATCAGCTTCTGGCCTCCACATGAGCATACACAAATACACAAACACACATAAACGTACATAGACACACATAAACACACACAAACCGGCACATGTGCAGACACAAACGCATAAACATGCACATGTGCACACACACTAATTTTTAAATTAAAAAGTAAAACAATAGCTTTGTCTTCACCAAGAAACAAAATCACTTGCCATTTGACAAGTAATGCAGCTAGTTTAGTCCGGGCTTTGGAAATCTACTTTCTCACCAAAACTTGTTTCACAGAGAAGGTTCTATGATTCAGAGCATTGTCAGGGAGGAGACAGGAGGGACCAGATATCAGCCATTTTACTCTTGTGGAACTGTGAGGCTGCTCCAGGATTTTTAGAGAATACCCAAGAATCACCGCGGAACGGAGAAACACTGGGCTAGGATTCATGGAGATGATTCCAGCCCTGGGCCTCCCACAATCTACATGTGTCCTTCTATGACTCATGACCCTCCTCTGGGACCAGCATCCCCACCCGTGCATGCGGAGGGATGGCATCGCCCGTCTCCAACGTTCTCACCAGCTGTTACTGCTCCTTTCCTCATTGACCCATCGTTATAAATCAGAACACTGGGTCCAGGGGAGCAGGCTCAGCCATTAAGAGCACTGCTGTTCTTGCAGAGGACCCAGGTTCAGGCAGTATGTATGCGGTGACTAACAACTGTCAGTCCAGTTCCAGGGATTTGATGCCTTGTTCTGTCCTCGAGGGTCACCAGAAATGCATGTGGTACACACATCTGCATGCAGACAAACACTCATACACACAAACTAAAATAAATTCAAAACATCAAACAGACTTAGTCTGTTGAACTTGGGATTTGGATATGTGTGTCGTCTTGAACTTCAGGATGTCTTAGCATCTTTGGCTAATGTACTCAACACTGCTTTGTCTACTTCCTTTGAAAACTCAGATGCTTGAATCCATCTCAAGATCTTGGACCAGTGATTGAAGATTCATTTTATACCTTCAAGGAATGGCAAGGGAGGTGTTTAAAGTTTCTACTGAATTTGGTTTAGGAGAGACTCCTGGCCCATAGACTCATGGTCTCTAACTGCCCAAAATACCCAAACTTAACAATTTTCCCAGCCTGTGAGTGTCGTGGCTGTCACATCATGTGCCATGGACATCATTTTGCTTCCTTTTCGGGCCCCTCAGCTGTCTTTCTTCAGACTCTGCTTAAGGACCTCTGGGAGCTTCTCTAAAACCATAGCGAATGTGTCCCTCTTACAAAGCAGCCTCACACCACATACAGTTTGGTAGTGCTGCTCAATTCTCAGGCTTTCCTCTTCTCCCTGGCTCTGGCACAGCAGGCAGCCTAAACCCAAACCTATCCGGAGGACACTACGATTGTCAGTGAGAGGCACAATCTTCCGTGCTCTCAAGACAATCCTGCTTCCTCCGTATTTACAACTGCACAAGGCGTTCTGGCTCCACGTTTTGCCGCCATGTCTGCTATCCTGACACAGAAGAGAACTGTCAGCATTTCTACCTAGGGCTGGGACTTCCCTTTCCCAACCCATCTGCACAGTTTGCTGTTATCAGACTTCACAGCAAACCCATCCCAGGGATCCTGGTACCCTGCTTGTAACATGTACATCACTGTAAGTCGCCTCTTTTCTCCCCTAGTTTGCATGTTCCCTGTTTTGGTCATAATCGGCCTATCTAGTGCACCTGAAAGTCTATTAACACCAAGCCTTCGTCTGAACAGTCATGGTGACTTTAGGTACACAGAACATGTGTCTAATAGCAAGCTTATTGAGGTCCTGAGTCTAGTCCTGTGTCACTAACCAGCATGTCTGACAGGATGGTCCCTAGAGATGTGTAGCAAAAGTGCCAGAGGAAGGTTGCTTACTTTGCCTTTGCATTGACTAAAAGATGCAAGTTCCTGTATCTCAGAATTAAGTGTAACCTTACACCTTGAATAACCAAAATCCAAAGGAAAACAAGAGAGTAAAGGTTCGAACCATATCACTAGTCTCATGCTCAACCGTTAGGTTAACTGTGTGGCAATATTCACACACGCTATTTCTGTTGGAAGATGTCTCCCATTACAGTCCATTTTGTAGTCTTTGATCCTGGCTCTTGCGGTCATGTGACTTGGGTTACACACCAGGTCACTTCTCCAGCTGAGTGCCTGCTTGTGGACATAACCCTCCTGAATGTTTCCAAGCGTCTGCTGAAGCTCAGATATCCACTTCCCTAGGTCACCTAGGTTCTGATTTCCAGATGCTACAGAATGCCTTCGGGTCCCAGGCAGCATTTAAGGAAGTCAGAACAGGATGGATGGTCTCGGATTAAAAACACAGCCAAAGCAAACTCAGAGAAAGGCAGGCAGGGCTTTTCTTCATGCCCATCCACCTCCCCTCCTGACCCTCAGCAGAGGAGGGGGTAGATACTGTCCTGAAAGCTGGAACAGCGTGGTGTGCCTCCTGACCCCTCCTCCCCTCGGATGGTTTTAATTGCTCAAGGGCGGCAGCCTGGGGGCCCCAGAACTCACTTCAAAGGCCTTTATCCAGTTCTGCTCTTTGATGTGCTCTATGCACTTGCTGCACTGCTTCTGGAAGTGCTTTTGCTGCTCCTCATCCAACAGGCCAATCTGGTACAGGAATGTTGCATACCCTCCTATAATCTGGGGACAGAAGTGACACACATGAACACCAGAGAGAGAAGGCTGGGACACCCCTTGCTTCAAGAGGAAACATTTCTGCAATGATCTATTAATTTCTGCTGGAATGAGTCAAACCAGACAACTCTACACACGGACATATGCCACAGAAAAGTCACACATACAGCACAATATTCATATATGTACAATCTGGTATTATTCATCGGAGACTGAAATGGTAAGATGGCACACTGAAAAGTCTAGTTACGAATTAGGTGTGAGGGCTGGAGGGATGGCTCAGTGGTTAAGAGTGCTGCTTACTCTTCCAAAGGTCCTGAGTTCAGTTCCCAGCAATCACATGGTGGCTCACAACCATCTGTAATGAGATCTGGTGCCCTCTTCTGAACTGCAGGCATACATGCAGAATAATACTGTATACATAATAAATAAATAAATCTTTAAAAAAAGAAAAAGAATTAGGTGTGAGCTAAGTTAACATTGTCTTTTAACAAGTTAGAACTCAGACATTATTCAATTCAAAGGAATTAGTCTCTGCAAGGGACAGATTGAGACAGAGAAAGCCACCAACCGATTCGGGATCAGAATATGCGTCTCCAATGGCGATTCCTTCCAGGTGGATCTTGAAGTCCCTTGAGGGGTTGAGGGTGTGAATGTAGTGCGCTATGGCCGGCACATATTTCCCTGCGTAAGACTGAGAAGCACAGGTGTTGAAATGACAGTCCCGAATTGATCCACACACATCTGCCTGGGCTGAAGCTAATTGACGATGACTACCATCCATCCCTTCTACTCAGTTTGAAGGCTCTACAGTAACAGAGGGCTCTACTCTTACTTCTGTTCTCACACCGTGTGGCCCCAAGTGACATGAAAAACCCATAAATACCATGTTATCATGGGACAGTCTAATGTCCTTCCAAAACAAAATGCCCTAAAGCACTGGATACAATCCTACCACCCACTGGGTGTCTCTTCCCAGGACCTTCTAGTCCAACATTGACTAGAGAAAAGGGAAAAAAAAATATCAAGTCTAAACCTAAGACTTAAAAATCTGCATAATAAAGCAAAATTTGCAATAAGTATGTATTAAAGGAACAAGAGAAGAGGCAAACAAAGCAATATTGGCCACATATTACTTTTATAGCCAGCCTTTTATAGCACAGGATCCTTTTTCAAGGCGGATTATTTTATGGACCATTTTTCTTCTAACAAACGCAATACTTCAACTTTCGAACTGTCTCAGAAAGTGCAAGTGTTGGTTCAGTGATACAGTCTTAAACTTTTTATTACACATAATTTATTTGTGGGTGGAGATGAGTCAGAGGACAATTTGCAAGAGTCAAGTCTCTCCTTTCGCCCCATGGGCCCCAGAGATGAAACTTAGTCACCAGACTTGGTTGGAAGCACTTTTTTCCCTGCTGAGCCCTCTCACTGGCCTGCTAAGCAATCCTTGAAAGCACAGCTTTGATTAATTCCACCCAAAGTTGCCTTCATGGCTTCTCCGGTTGTTTATCCACCTGTAAACTCCACATGTTCAGAATGAAGCCCCCAACCCTGAGCCTTCCTGCAACCTCCCTTGCAGTTCGTGCTAACTTTGTTCTGGACGTGCAGGTCAAACATCTCGGTGACATTCTTTGTATTTCTTCCCCTTGCCCTCCCTACAGTCCATTAACTAGACTTAGCGATCCTAGCTGGCCCACCAAATGCAGCTGGAAGACAGCGTCTCCTTCCGTGTCTGTGTCCTTGCCCTATTCCAGGTCATGTTACCTGCAGCCTGGGCTACTGCTGCAGCCTCCATACTGACCTTCGGCCCTTCAGTCCCAGCCACTTTATTCTCTGGACAATAGTACAGCTAAAATGCAAGCCAGGCCATGCACTTCCTCTGCTTAACTCCTTCCGTGACTGCACTGGAATAAACGCTGATGTGATCCGCCCCTTCCACCAGTCTCACCCCCACGGTACCTTCTTACTCGATCCTTCCCAGGCCCACTGGGGACCAGACTGCTCCCTGTATGCACCAGGGCCTTTGTACTCACATCTCTTTCCACCCGGAATGCTTTGGCCTGAGCATCTGAATGGTTCATTTCCTCATTTCTTTAAGTGAGGCCACCCAAGCAATGTCTTTTCTGGCCACTAACCAAAATTTTTATTAGTCCTGTTTTCTTCTTTTGGATCTTTTCTTTCCTTCTTAATCCTTATTCTTCCTCAACAAGTTTACCTACTCATCACCTTACACCGTTTTGCTTGCTCCCATCCTAGAAATTGCCCGAACAGTGACATAAGCATCAGATGTGCATACTCTTTTTCATACTGCCTGATGCTGCTAGTGTTCAATAAATAGCTGCGAAATTAATGACTCCATGTGCATTTGGGAAAGGGCAACACGCAGGCATTCATGGTACATTTACGCAGGAATCTGTGAATTCACAGACCTTCTATGACATTCCCAAGGCTCTTCACAGGCTTGGAACATCTGGCTGCTCAGAACTGATCTACACCACAGTCATTAGCACAGGAGGGAAACACCGCTGTTCTCACTTCAAGCTAGGACCCAGGACTTGGAGAGGTTAAGTGGTAAGAGTCAGAATCACACATGGGCTGACCCACTCCAAAAGTTGAAACTCCCTTCGAGCTGATAAAGGCAGGTAATTCACATAACTTATTTGAGATCTTGTTTGCACAGCCCTCTTGTGTAACAGCAGTTACTAAGGTAAAGTAGGGAATCAAAACACTTCCAGCATTCATTCTTAGGAATCTGTTTTAGTTTCCTTATGGCAATAAAAAGATGGGCTTTTATGTCTGAAGTTTGCTAAACAACTGTGCAATATGATCTTATAAGTGGAAATAAGTGTAGGAGGAGGCCACTTGTTGGTTCCCGGCCTCTTAGCTCCAAAATAGTCACACAGCAACAGTATTAATTAAATCACTGCTTGGTCCATTAGCTCTAGCTTCTTATTGGCTAACTCTTACAGATTAATTTAATTCATCTCCATTAATCTGTGTATTGCCACGTGACTGTGGCTTACCAGGTAAAGTTCCTACCGTCTGTCCCGGAGTGCTACATGGCTTCTCTCCAACTCTGCCTCCTTTCTCCCAGCATTCAATTTAGTTTTCCCCGCCTAGCTAAATTCTGCCCCACTATAGATCCAAAGTAGTTTCTTTATTCATTAATGGTAATCACAACATACTGAGGGAAATTCCACATCAAATAAGTGAAGAGTTATCAAACAAATGTCTATAAGATAATGCATTTTCCTGAGTAATCACTTTGCTGATAAAGTGTCTCCCAGCCTTCAGTCAATAAGGGCCTCTGGGACAAGCCATCTGTCAAGACCATCAAGCTAGATACTTGGGGGAGACACAAAAATGAACAAAGCACAACCATGCCCTTAGAAATGTCACAGTTACTTCTAAAGAATGTTATAGAAACCATGTCTCCCATCCACCAGAGCAAATACATAATTCGTGAATCATGTATACAATAACCAGGGCAAAACAGGTCCACAAAGCTCATTTGATACATGAATGATGATCTCACATTATCTCTAATTGTTTTTCTCCACAGAAATTGATACAAATACTAAAAAATGTATATATTGAGTGATAGTATCTCTTGGGTTGTCTTCTCCTTACATTTGGTAAATGAAACATACTCTGAGATGGAAGGCCATGTTCTTTACATAGCTATGTAGTCAGTGGTGGTAAATTTAGCTTAAACCCCCAGTGCATTGCTGTAGGAAATCCTACAGCCAATAGGTGCCCACTGGGGCGTGGCCTCTTATACTATTTATGCCAATGAAAAGCATGTGTCTGGTCTCTTTTCCTGCTGAGAGATTCGGTTGCTGTTCTCCGTTCCAGCAGAGGATATTGACTTGTGAGTCTATCCCTAAATAAATAATCATCTATTATTCTCAAATCTGAGCTAGTGTGGGATTTATTTTAAGCATCCATCTTCAGTGTGTGGAAACTTCCTAACAGTCACTGAAGGTGGGGCATAACTAGGTAAGAAATTAAAAAGCAGCCTATATTTTAGGACCCAGTCTCGATGTTGAGCTTTATCCATGAACCAAACTATGTCACTCACCCTACTATGAGTTCACGCATAACAAACCTCATTTTCTTATATTTTGAAACAATGAAATGAGGTCTGTGCCTGCTAATGGCATACATAGCTGGAGTTCTCCCCAGGCATAGCCGCTTCCACGGCTCTCATTTTTCCTAGCAAATCACATTTCAGTCAGTGGTTACAGAATGTCCTGTGGCTCTCGGGCCCCATGGTGGGACCTGTTTTTTTCTTCCCCACACTCACTAAACAGACCGCTCACAACCAAAAGGACAATTAGATGGATAATTCTGTAAATCACTTCTAAAACCACCACCTTCTTCAGGATTCGTCCCACATCTGCTCTCCCAGCGCTGAGGATCCTTATCTCCGTCTCTGTTTCTGATGTCTGCCATACTCTTTCTTGCTCTGTGTCGGTGTGACAACTCCTTCATTGTCCCGTTCCTTCATCCTCCCGCCGACTGAGTGACTCAGGCTGTCACCCAGTCGACAACTGCAGGTTTATTTTACAGGGAATCAACACACTACAGTCAGACTTCCGTTATTTTTACCTTCCTTGTTAGGATATATTTCTTCGTGTTTGCAAAAACAAACTTCTTATTCTGGAATCATTTATTTCTCAGCTTAGCCTCTCACTATCACAAACACTTTGGAAACAACAGGTTAGCACATGAAGTATATTTTGCTTTACCATCCACGACTTCTGTATACATCTTACAAAGAGTAAAACTTCATATCCGGGGAGAGCGTCTGCCTTTGGGTCAAACTCAGCCTGTGGCTGCCTGTGTTATTACTTTAGACCTGAACATAGGCACACTTGCTCTTCCGGGCCTGAGTTATTCCCTTAATGATGACAGTAATGGCCGCAGTCAGATCTGCAGTTCGGAGTCTTCTCTGACCTCCCAATGGCGCTTCTCAGTGTGGCCAGCAGCAGGCCAATAAAGCCCATGACGTCTGCAAATTAATACTAACCTTCCACCCCCAGATCCAAGACTGGTCTTATAAAAACATCAAAGTCATTCTAAAATGGAAAGGGAAGAGTGCTGCTGCAGGGAACAGACACATTGTGTTAGCGTTTGGCAGTGACCTTTCACCTTCAAACAAGGAACTCAGCCAGATAAGCATATTGTCTCACACCACAACTTAAGCAAAGTTAGTAATCAGCACATCTGGATCCCAGCCTCGGGCGCGCGCGCTGCGAGCTGCCAATTCTAGCAATGCTTGTGCTTAGCTCACTTTCCCCATGGTGACTGGAATCACACTCACCTGCGGCAAGAAGGACTGGGGACATCAGGCTGTGTTTGTTGGTATTTCCTTTATTTGCTGGCGCTCAAAGAAGCAATAAAGCTCTAATTCTGCTCCCATATCAGAAGCGTGGCCGAGTTCGGCTCTCAGGCTTTTATTTTGCCCATGAGAGGAGGGTCTTAACATCACAGCTGAATGGAGTTCTGACCCTTGCTCTGCCATCCCTGGGAATACTTGTTCAGTGTCGGGAAGAGCTTCATGGAAACCACGTGACGAGCTCACTGTACTAAAAACAGTCTGCAGAGGATGTAGTGCTCGCTTAGTTATCCAGATGTGTAAACAGACAATGAGATTCAACTTAGTTGTGTGTTCCTTCTGAACCTCTC